ACCCCCAAGTGGCAATATTTCTTCTCTGTATCATTTTTTAATATGCAACAACAGTGTATAATTTTTCTCATATGCAACAACAGTGCTATTTTATTCCATGATTGTCATTACCTGCAGTTCTTTCAAAATCCACCAGATGTCAGTGTTTTTAAATCTATATACTTTTGAAGTTGCAATTCTACCAATATCCACCAGATGTCGCTTTTTTTTTAGCAGTTACAATATTTTAGCCTGTAGTTCCAGCAATGAACAACAAGGGTCTCTTTTTCCACCATATACAGTGAGGAACAGAAGTATTTGAACCCCTGCGATTTTACAAGTTTTCCCACAGAATTCAGGAGATCACATTGTATGATTTGTAAAGAATGTATTTGTCTTGCACTGCTGAACAGAAGTATTTGAACACCTAAGAAACAGCAAGAATTCTGGCTCTTAAAGACCTGTTACTGCGCCTTTATAAAGTCCACCTCTACTCCACTCATTAATGTAACTTAGTAGCACCTGTCTGAGCTCTTTAAAGACACCTGTCCACCCCACAGTCAGTCAGACACCAACTACTACCATGGGCAAGACCAAAGAACTGTCAAAAGACACCAGAGACAAAATTGTGGACCTCCACAAGGCTGGAAAGGGTTACGGGGGGACAATTGCCAAGCAGCTTGGTGAAAATAGTTCAACTGTTGGAGCAATTGTTAGAAAATGGAAGAGGCTAAAGACGACTGTTAGTCTCCCTCGGACTGGGGCTCCATGCAAGATGTCACCTCGTGGGGTATCACTGATGATAAGAAAGGTCACATGGTGAGGAATCAGCCCAGAAAGCCTTGTACAAGGGAGGAGCTGGTCAATGACATGAAGAGAGCTGGGACCACAGTTTCACAGGTCACTGTCGGTAGAACTCTACGCCGTCATGGTTTCCAATCATGCATTGCACGGAAGGTTCCCCTGCTCCAGTCATCACATGTCCAGGCCTGTCTGAAGGTTCCCCTGCTCAAGTCATCACATGTCCAGGCCCGTCTGAAGGTTCCCCGGCTCCAGTCATCACATGTCCAGGCCCGTCTGAGGTTTGCCAATGACCATCTGGATGATGCAGAGGAGGCATGGGAGAAAGTCATGTGGTCAGATAAGATCAAAGTAAACTTTTTGGTCTAAACGTCACTCGTCGTGTTTGGAGGAAAAAGAAGGATGAGTTGCATCCCAAGAACACCATCCCTACTGTGAAGCATGGGGGTGGTAACATCATGCTTTGGGGGTGCTTTTCTGCGAAGGGGACAGGACGACTGCACTGTATTAAGGAGAGGATGAATGGGGCCATTTATTTGTGAGATTTTCAGCAACAACCTCCTTCCCTCAGTCAGAGCATTGAAGATGGGTCGTGGCCGGAATCTTCCAACATGACAACCACTCGAAGCACACAGTCAGGAGAACCAAGGAGTGGCTCCGTAAGAAGCATATCAAGGTTCTGGAGTGGCCTAGCCAGTCTCCACACCTAAATCCAATAGAACATCTTTGGAGGGAGCTGAAACTCCGTGTTGCTCAGCGACAGCCCCGAAACCTGACAGATCTAGAGGAGATCGGTGTGGAGGAGTCGGCCAAAATCCCTGTTGCAGTGCAAACCTGGCCAAGGACTACAGGAAACGTCTGACCTCTGTAATTGCAGACAAAGGCTTCTGTACCAAATATTAACACGGATCTTAAGGGGTTCAAATACTTCTGTTCCTCACTGTAGGACCATAAGGTGTCAGTGTAGTGTCAGATGAAATATTCCTTTCTTTCAGCTGTGTCTCATCAGCTATGCCTGGATTTCATAGAGTTCATTTCCAGGTCTTAACTACCTGCCGACCGCAGATAGCCAAATGACGGCTGCACTGCGGCCAGCCAGTTCTGGGTGGACGTCATATGACGTCCCCCCAGAACGCGCTCTCCTGAGCGCCCCAGGGGGCGCGCACCCGGCGATCTCCGTGATCGCTGTGTCCTACGGACACAGCTGATCACGTGATATGGTAAAAGGCCGATCATACCGGCCTTTTACCACGTGATCAGCGGTGTCCAATGACACGCTGATCACAGGGAAATGCAAGTTCCCCTGTTCTCGGCTGCACTTTCCTCACGCTGTCAGATCGTGTGAAAGTACTGCGGAGAACCGGCAGTTGTCAGAGCGGGGATCGGCACCGATCATCAGGGCACTGATGATCAGTGCCCTGATGATCGGTGCCCAGCAGTGACACCCGCAAGTTCCGCCCAGCAGTGCGCCCACTAGCTCCGCCCACCCGTGCCCAGCAGTGCACCCACCTGTGCCCAGCAGTGCCCCCACCTGTGCCCAGCAGTGCACCCACCTGTGCCACTCTGCAGTGCCACCTTACCTGTGCCCAGAAGTGCCACCTACATGTGCCCAGCAGTGCCACCCACCTGTGCCCACCCACCTGTGCCCACCAGTGCCACCCACCTGTGCCCACCAGTGCCACCCACCTGTGCCCACCCACCAGTGCTGCCCACCAGTGCCACCCACCAGTGCAGCCCAGCAGTGCTGCCAGTCAGTGCCACCAGTCAGTGCCCAGGGGTTGTGCCAGTCAGTGCCGCCAGTCAGTGCCCAGCAGTGATGCCAGTCAGTGCCGTCTATCAGTACCCATAATCAGTGTCACCTATCAGTGCCGCCTATCAGTGCTGCATATCAGTGCCGCCTATCCGTGACCCCTAATTAGTACTGCCTATCAGTGCCGCCTATCTGTGCCACCTCATTAGTACTGCCTATCAGTGCCCTTTAGTGCTGCCTATCAGTGCCACCTATCAGTGCCCATCAGTGCTGCCTCATCAACGCACATCAGTGAAGGAGAAAAAATACCTGTTTGAAAAATTTTATAAAAGAAACAAATAAACTTTTTTTTTTTTTGCAAATTTTTTGCACTTTTTTTATTTATAGCGCAAAAAGTAAAGCGCCCTGGCGATTAAATACCACCAAAAGAAAGCTCTATTTGTGAGAAAAAAATGATCAAAATTTCATATGGGTACAATGTTGCATGACCGCGCAATTGTCAATCAAAGTGCGGCAGCGCTGAAAGCTGAAAATTGGCCTGGTAAGGAAGGGGGTAGAAGTGCCTGGTAGGCGAGGGGTTAAAGACCACTTCTGGTGTTCCTATTAATGATAAAGATCAACTTTTCCAGATCTCCATACACTAGAAATTACACATCCCAACCCTAACTTTAACCCCTAACCCTGACACCAACCCTGAACCTATCTGCATAAATAGATTCATCCCTCATAATGGCTTTGAATGCATCCCAAAGAACCTGTTCCTGAGCAGAATGAGCATTATTGGCCCAGTAAGAGGTGGAAGAGGAAGTGTCTCACTGGGAGACACCCTCTTCCTGCAGCCACCATGGGTCCAATCGTGAAGCACAACTCACTGCAGCCAAGAATATAGAATATGTGGACCGACTATGTGGGTTGTAATGCATGTCCAGACCAGGTGAAGGTCCGGGACATGGTTAGTCTACTTTTGAGGGGGTGGGAAATGGGACAGCCCCAACTGGGACAGGGCTTTTACAGGGGACTGCAGACTAGCCTCTTGCCTACTGACTATGGGCCCTGGCATCTCAGAGGGCTCTATTCTTTGGGAGGTGTGTGCCTGGGGGGGACCTTTGGAGTAGTTTTACTTCAGATTCAAGTCCATGTCTCCCCAAAACACACAGACTCAGAAAACTGGAGGACCTGGATACAGATTTTGGGTCTCTATGCCCAAGCCAGCATTGACTGCTTCAACCTACCTCCTCCAAGATTAATGCCAGCCATAGAAGAGTCAAAAATCAGCCGATTATTCGGGGGGAAAAAAAAAATTGCCCGATTTTCGCATTGTTAGTGAGTTAATTGGTTTTTTTTTTTTGCACATTTTTTTCTATCGATCATGTTGGAAAATTTGCTGCCGATTTTGACGATCGGACGGTTTTCTCAGCAATGATGGGCAAATCGGGCGATTGTTTTACCGATAAAAAGTCCGCACATGAGCCGTGACCTGCAAGGGACAGAAGTTATGGGTGAACTCAGGGGTGGACTGACTACTCATGGGGCCCCCGGGCCATAGGGGATCATGGGGCCCCTGTGTCCTTGCCCAAACTCAAGAAAGTCTATGAAAAAGGTACCAGGGGCATCTCATGGGGCCCCCTACTGACCCCGGGCCCTCGGGCAGTGGCCGAGTTTCCAAATGGTCAGTCTGCCCCTGGGTGAACTTTATGATTTTGTCGGCCGATGTTTTTTTACCATTGGTGGTAATGTCGGCTGAATGAACGACCGATTTTTTTTTTTTTAAAAATCGGCTGATGTTCGACCCGTCTATGGCCTGCATTAGAGACTCAGAGCAGGGCAGGACAGTGGCTAAATGGTTAGCCGTTCCTCCTGGCAGTACCAGGGTCGTTGGTTCGAATCCCAACCACGGCACCACCTGCCTGGAGTTTGCATGTTCTCCCTGTGCCTGTGTGGGTTTCCTCCGGGTACTCTGGTTTCCTCCCACACTCCAAAGACATGCTGGTAGGTGAATTGGCTCCTGTCTAAAAAAAAAAATTGTCCCTAGTATACGTATGAATGTGAGTTAGGGACCTTAGATTGTACGCCCCTCGGGGGCGGGGACTGATGTGAATGTACAATATATATGTAAAGTGCTATAGAAGTACCTGAAATAAATAAAATAATCAGCTCCAAACTACCTGATGCTGAGGTCTCTTCCTGTATTGTGTTTTTAAGGTGTCTTTGTTCCACTGTTAACTACCTGCCGACCGCAGATAGCCGAATGACGGCTGCACTGCGGCCGGCCAGTTCTGGGTGGATGTCATATGACGTCCTTCCAGAACGCGCTCTCCTGTGCGCCCCCAGGGGCGCGCGCACCCGGCGATCTCCGTGATCGCTGTGTCCTACGGACACAGCTGATCACGTGACGTGGTAAAAGGCCAATCATACCGGCCTTTTACCACGTGATCAGCGGTGTCCAATGACACGCTGATCAGAGGGAAATGCAAGTGCCGGTTCTCGGCTGCACTTTCCTCACACTGTCAGATCGTGAGGTAAGTACTGCCGAGAACCGGCAGTTGTCAGAGTGAGGATCGGCACCGATCATCAGGGCACTGATGATCAGTGCCCTGATGATCGGTGCCCAGCAGTGCCACCCGCAAGTTCCGCCCACCTGTGCCCAGCAGTGCGCCCACTAGCTCCGCCCACCTGTGCCCAGCAGATCACTCACCTGTGCCCAGCAGTGCACCCACCTGTGCCCACCCACCTGTGCCCAGCAGTGCCACCCACCTGTGCCCACCCACCTGTGCCCACCAGTGCCACCCACCTGTGCCCACCCACCAGTGCTGCCCACCAGTGCCACCCACCAGTGCAGCCCAGTCAGTGCCACCAGTCAGTGCCCAGGGGTTGTGCCAGTCAGTGCTGCCAGTCAGTGCCCAGCAGTGATGCCAGTCAGTGCCGTCTATCAGTACCCATCATCAGTGTCACCTATCAGTGCTGCATATTAGTGCCGCCTATCCGTGACACCTCATTAGTACTGCCTATCAGTGCCCTTTAGTGCTGCCTATCAGTGCCCATCAGTGCTGCCTATCAGTGCCCATCAGTGCCGCCTATCAGTGCCCATCAGTGCTGCCTCATCAACGCACATCAGTGAAGGAGAAAAAATACCTGTTTGAAAAATTTCTATAATAGAAACAAAGAAACTTTTTTTTTTTTTTCCAAATTTTTTGCATTTTTTTTTTTATAGCACAAAAAGTAAAGCGCCCAGCGGTGATTAAATACCACCAAAAGAAAGCTCTATTTGTGAGAAAAAAAAAGATCAAAATTTCATATGGGTACAATGTTGCATGACTGCGCAATTGTCAATCAAAGTGCGGCAGCGCTGAAAGCTGAAAAATTGGCCTGGTAAGGAAGGGGGTATAAGTGCCTGGTAGGCGAGGGGTTAATGGAGTTCCTTGAGTCACCTAATGGAGTTCCTTGAGTCACCTAATGGAGTTCCTTGAGTCACCTAATGGAGTTCCTTGAGTCACCTATTGTTTCTGTCTGCTGGCTAGTCCCTGGAGGCTCCTACATGATGGGATTGGTCTGGTGTCAATGTCACCTCCCTACATAATCACTGTGGGATGTCTTTGCCCGTCTTTATGAATGCCAAGGAGAGAAAGTAATAGAGTACGCCAGAGTTCAGTGTGCTATGTGCTGAAGGTGGAGCGCTCCATGTCCACCATGTTACTAGAATCTACATCCAACCTGGCGGAGTAGAATATTACAATTAATAAACCACCCATGACATACTCTGGACTGCCCCGTTCCACCATTCCGTGTGTTCTAGACTCCAATATCAATGCTATGTTTTCACTGCATTGTGATTGATAGGTAAAGTTATCCAAACCCCCCAGGCCTCTGAATTCCGCCATGTTTCGGCACACTTCTGGTAGTACAGGATGAAACCATGACTGTTGAGACGATGTCCATTGTGATGAATGCGGTTACAGGGAGTCAGTAATAACTCTCCAAATAAGACTGCTGCACAAAGAAATATTGATGGGCTTCCTGCGTCAGGGAGCCGGTGAGATGTGCTGGACCTTCCAAGGGAGGTGTGAATGGGTTAATGGAGATCCTTTTCACAGGTAGGTTAATGAATGGGATGGCACCGGGCAGAAGTTTCTGAGGAATCGGAGGGAGGGAGACACCTGGAAGAGAAAACAAGGTCTGATCACAATATGTTTGTAGCATCTTATAGGCTACAACCTACCGAGTAATCAACAGGAGAATGATTAACAATGGTTAGTTTGGGGGGAGGGGGGTAGATTACTACGAACACTGATACAAGGGTGTGGCAGAACCGTTCTGCCTGGGCTTCCTCGTGCGGAGCGATGCGTCTCAGCCAATGGTCCCCTTGTCCTGCAAGTCTTCCAGCGCTCTGCCAAGGCAGGTATTAGAGCTCAAAACCAATCCTTCCCTGCTCTCCCAAACCACGAGTCGGAACTTCATGTAGGGTGAAATTAATCAATCTTTATTGAACGCAGTTCAGTATATACAGCTTCACCCCACCAGACAGCCTGGCACCGGTTTTCCCCACCCACAACAAAACCCTACAACCCAACAATACAGTATGAACTCTATAGAAGTGAAAGACTACAAGGTCACATTTCCCTAAACAGTGTAGAATGTCTGTCTACATAACAGCTGCTAACATATACAGCTTTACCGAGGGGAGAACGGGAAGACCGCTTACCGAGGGGAGAACGGGGAGACCGCTTACCGAGGGGAGAACGGGGAGACCGCTTACCGACGGGGGGAACGGGGAGACCGCTTACCGAGGGGAGAACGGGAAGACCCCTTACCGAGGGGAGAACGGGAAGACCGCTTACCGAGGGGAGAACGGGAAGACCACTCACCGAGGGGAGAACGGGAAGACCACTCACCGAGGGGAGAACGGGAAGACCGCTTACCGAGGGGAGAACGGGAAGACCGCTTACCGAGGGGAGAACGGGAAGACCGCTTACTGAGGGGAGAACGGGGAGACCGCTTACCGACGGGGGGAACGGGGAGACCGCTTACCGAGGGGAGAACGGGAAGACCCCTTACCGAGGGGAGAACGGGAAGACCGCTTACCGAGGGGAGAACGGGAAGACCATTTAACAAGGGGAGAACGGGAAGACCATTTAACAAGGGGAGAACGGGAAGACCATTTAACGAGGGGAGAACGGGAAGACCGCTTACCGAGGGGAGAACGGGAAGACAGTTTACCGAGGGGAGAACGGGAAGACCCCTTACCGAGGGGAGAACGGGAAGACCCCTTACCGAGGGGAGAACGGGAAGACCCCTTACCGAGGGGAGAACGGGAAGACCCCTTACCGAGGGGAGAACGGGAAGACCCCTTACCGAGGGGAGAACGGGAAGACCGCTTACCGAGGGGAGAACGGGAAGACCCCTTACCGAGGGGAGAACGGGAAGACCGCTTACCGAGGGGAGAACGGGAAGACCATTTAACAAGGGGAGAATGGGAAGACCGCTTACCGAGGGGAGAACGGGAAGACCGCTTACCGAGGGGAGAACGGGAAGACCGCTTACCGAGGGGAGAACGGGAAGACCGCTTACCGAGGGGAGAACGGGCAGACCGCTTACCGAGGGGAGAACGGGGAGACCGCTTACCGAGGGGAGAACGGGGAGACCGCTTACCGAGGGGAGAACGGGAAGACCGCTTACCAAGGGGAGAACGGGCAGACCGCTTACCGAGGGGAGAACGGGGAGACCGCTTACCGTGGGGAGGACGGGGAGACCGTTTACCGAGGGAAGAATGGGAAGACCGCTTACCAAGGGGAGAATGGGAAGACTGTCGCAAACGTGCGCAACACACAGTGAAGGACACCAACTCCATTTTGTTAAGAGTATCCATTTCTCCCTTATTCTTCCCTCCCCCTCCCTCTCTGAGAGGAGACATTTAGCCAGTGTGTGTGTGCGCTTGTTGTGGGTCACTGGCAGGCCAGGGCATCTCTGAGCTAGGTGCCTGGTTGTCTGGGAGAACCTGTGCCATTTCACATCTCGGAAGAGATAAGGCAAGCTTTCTCAGGAGTTGAGATTCTGACCTAATGACCCTAACGCAGTGTAGGTGACAGAATCAGATAACACTCCTCAAAATCCATTTCTCCCCTATGTCTCATATCTTGGAATATGAGAGACTTACATAAAAACCAGACATACCGTCAGATTGGCTAGGAGGAGCCGAACAGTTTGATGGTCACTCAACTTGTCTCGCATACACAGGAAAGCAGAAAAATAGATCTCGTGAACCGTTCAGTATAGAATTACATATTTCATCTCTAATCAATCCTCAGACTTGTCCGCATAATATTTTACCCGTGGGTGGAATGTCACTTGTGCAGATGGCAAGTTATGGGCCAAAATATGAGTTATGAAAGATTTTGGCTCTAGTTTAGGTCGACACCCAGACCTCCATGCCTACACAAGGTATTGGTCCGTGGAGTCAGAGACACCCCTGCTGGGGACTTAAAACAGACTGTCAGGCCTAAGAGAAGTAAGTTAAAGAATTCTCCCATTAACTATCCTAACATAGGGAGATCAAAGCACCATTCTCTTCTGAAACTTGGATCTGCTAACGCAGGACTTTGGCAAGTACTTTAACCCTTTCACCTCTCTCTGATATCTCTTTGCTGTGCTGTGGTTCTCTGTATATTTATATATATATATATATATATATATCTTAGTTACATCTTTTTTTCTGTAAATATTTTTATTGCACCCATTTCACCTTTTAGTAATAAATCTTTCTTTCTGAAAGTGTTGAACTGTTTCTATAGCGCTTTATTGCAATTTACGAATCCCTGCCTCTAAAGAGAACACTACTGTTTGTTTAACCCTCTGTATAACAGGCCTGTGTTATGACCATTTTATACAGACGATTATCTCAATCATTATAGTGTTTTAGCTGAGATCGCCGAGTTTCCTCTTTCTCTGTACAAAAAGAAGGTGGTGGCAGTGTGAAGGGTTAAATGCGTATTTAACCTGACCCAGTAACAATTGCTCAGGCTGCCAGTACATAGATCTGTGGTCCATTAGCTGGAGAATAATTGTGCAGGGTGCACCTGGGCATGGCATTGTTACGCACGTCACATCGCGGTTTTAGATTGGCCAGTCCTTCGATCACGAGTTTTGGTGAGAAGGTCTGGAGTCTGACGCCGCGATTGTGACATATTGGTGGTTGCGATTGTGGGATTGTCGCATGTTGGTGGCGGCGATCTTGCGATCCTGACAAAGACCACTTAACAAGATGATAAAACCAGAACAGAAAGGGCAAAATGTTATCACAAAGGGACAGTTCGTCACAAAGGGTACCTGACACAGCCCATAGACTTGGGATGAAAATTGCTTGTTGACTATTTCTCATGCACTAGGTTGTCTGAAATCTACGGTAGCAGACACATGCCCACAGGCAGGCTGGGGAAACACCAATCAGGTCTTCTGAGATAATTATTTTTCTATCTCATGCACATATAATAAGTTGCAGAGAATTACACACAAATAAAAACTAAACTTCTACAAGAAGGAACGTGCCCATTCCCAAAATCACTCCGGTCACTCAGCAGTTCCTATTTGTTAGTTTGAAATAAAGTCATGAAGACCTGTTCATGGTCCACAATCTAGGATCCAAAGGTCACACCTCAACATCAACAAGCAGGTAAATATCTATAACCAGGAGATTGGGGGGTGCCGAACTATGACAAGGTGGGAAAATATCTCAAACGAGGAGATTTTAGGTGACTATCTATGAGGAAGAGATGGAGTATGACAATCTATAATGAAAGATTGGGGGGCAAATATCTCAAACTAGGAGATTTCAGGTGACTATCTACAAGGAAGAGATGCAGTATGACAATCTATAATGAAAGATTGGGGGGGATGATCCATGACCAACAAATAACGAGTGACTATCTACAAGCAGGAAATG